GGTTTTGGGTTAGTTTTGAGATAGGCTTTCACTATGTAGTTCAGTCTGGGTTTGCACTCACTATGTAGCCCAGGCTGGCCTCAGTCTTGCAGCGATCTTCCTGCCTCAGCCTCCTGAGTGCTGGGATGACAGGTGTACACCACAATGCCCAGCTTAAAATCTGAATGATTTTTTTTTTTTGTTTTTTGTTTTTTTGAGACAGGGTCTTACTATGTAGTTGAGACTGACCTGGAACTCACTATGTAGCCCAGGCTGGTCTCGAACTCACAGTGATCCTTCTGCCTCAGCCTCCTGAGTGCTGGGATTACAGGCATGAGCCACCATGCCCGGCAAAATTTGAATGATATTTATAGTCTCCATTCTCCTTTATGTCCTACCATGATCAGGCAGTCCACTGTGGAGAAAGGTGGGGGTTCCAAGACAAAACACGGGGTGGGGGCTAGGAGTTAGCTCAGGGGAACCAAGGCTGCCCTTACAAGCACAAGGTCTTGAATTCAATCCTTGGTACCAAAAACCCCACCAAAACTATGATCAAGCTGGGCATGGTGGTGCACACCTGTAATCCCAGCACTTGGGAGGCTGAGGCAGGAGGATCACTGTGAGTTCGAGACCAGCCTGGGCTACATAGTGAGTTCCAGGTCAGTCTCACCTACATAGTGAGACCCTGTCTCAAAAAAAACAAACAAACAAACAAACAAAATCAACTACATAGTGAGACCCTGTCTCACAAAACCAAAAAAAAAAAAAAAAAAAGATAAAAAACACCAGGGGACTGAAGTGAGACCCAGATCACATTTCTGGCTGAGCCCTGGGCTCTGTGTACTAAATGCTGTACCCCTGGCTCCTGCAGGCAGGGAGGCCAGCTGTGAAGGCACCCTCCGAGCCGTGGACCCCCCCGTGAGGCACCACAGCTACGGGCGCCATGAGGGGGCCTGGATGAAGGACCCTGCTGCTCAGGACGACAGGATCTACGTCACCAACTACTACTATGGGAACAGCCTGGTGGAGTTCCGCAACCTGGAAAACTTCAAGCAAGGTCAGGGTCCCGGAAACGGGAGGAGAGGGTACGGCAGCCTGGCAGGGTCCCTTGAGACCTGGCCTTTCTATCCCCGGGGTTTCCTGGGTGCACCCTGGATGGTTTCAGAAAGCAAAGTCGGCGCAGAGACGGTCCGTCTCGTGCCTCAGTTCCAGTCTGTCTCCACTTGCCAAGGGCTTGCTGCCTGCCAGTCACCCTGTGTGGCATCTGCCTGTCGCCAGAAGTGGGCTTGTTCCCTGTTTTACAGGCGAGTGGCTCCAGGCCTTAGAGGAGTTGCAAGCCCTGGCAGGGACCTTGGTGCTGCTGCTGTTAACAGAAAGAAGGGCAGAATTTGGGCTCTCAGGTCTGGCGGGTGGTGCAGGAAGGGACCTTAGCCACCCTCCAGAAAGCTGTAGTCTAACACGGAGACAAAGGAGGAGAAAGGCAGCTGAGGTACAGCACTGGGGGCACAGCTCAGAGCCTGTGAGGAGCCAGCCCAGCGAGCAGGGAAGACTTCCAGAGCCAGAGGCACAGGGTAGAGGGAGCGCTGGGGAGGCAGGAGGGAGCCAGGCAGCGGAGGAAAGGCTGGTCCAGCAGGAGGCCCAGCACGTGCAAAGGCCCTAGGGCTGGCTCCACCCTGTGCCTCCACCCTAGCTGTGCCAGGCACAGGGGTGGCATCAGCACCTCCCGCATGGCACGGTGGTGGTGGCATGAGGAAGGGGACTGTCTTGCTGGCCTTCCGGAGGCTCGCGGTGACCTGTGCCCTGGATCGCAGGCCGCTGGAGTAACATGTACAAGCTGCCCTACAACTGGATCGGCACAGGCCACGTGGTCTACCAGGGCGCCTTCTACTACAACCGCGCCTTCACCAGGAACATCATCAAGTACGACCTGCGCCAGCGCTTCGTGGCCTCCTGGGCGCTGCTGCCCGACGTGGTGTACGAGGACACCACGCCGTGGAAGTGGCGCGGCCACTCGGACATCGACTTCGCCGTGGACGAGAGCGGCCTGTGGGTCATCTACCCCGCCGTGGACGACCGCGACGAGGCCCAGCCCGCGGTGA